TTGCTAAGCCCCCCCAGGGGGTTTAGTGCTAGAGCTGGACTGGGAACCCAGAACATGTGGGCTGTCCTTTCTCCTTCGTACCCTGCTAGGAGTGTGGAGACAGCTCCCACAGTCATTCGAATGTTTGTTGGGAATGCAGAATACATTTTCCCATGGAGACAGGTTTTTTTTCTTCCCCCCTTTTTTTTTTAAATGATGGTTCAGTTCCCAGGCCAGGCCACAAAAGCCTATTTACCCCATAGCTGAGCTCAACTATAAAACCAGCGGTAGCTCTGAGGCCTCACTGAACCCCCAGCTCCAAGCCTGCTATCTGGGGGGCAGGTGGGCAGCTGGCTCTGTGGGGGGGGGGCAGAGCTCCCTTGAGCAGACCAGGAGTGTGGGGTAGGGGGCTGAGCAGGGGGGCTGGGCAGGGGGCCCAGGGGCAGCTGCTGGAGGCTAGGCCCCTCTGAATGCCTTGGTGGCTCTTAAGTGGATTGTTTGTAAGTTGGGAACTGTCTGTACTTAGAAACGCGGATTTCAAGAGGTAGGGTATCCTATTTCACTTGAAGGCCCACAGTAATGAGGGTTCTTTATTCGTAATGAAGGAGCCACTAATTGGAGGGACAGGCTCAGGAGGCCTGCTGGAATTTTGTACTCCTGGATCAGAACTGAGTAATATTATGCAGTAGCCTGGCAACCCCTTACTTCTGCATCAAATTCATATAAAAATCTATCATGAAGTGCCTGTCTAACATTCACTGTGTTTATTATTAATAATGATAATAACAGGGTGGCTTATATACAGCATTAAGCTGAGAAACTGAATGAATTCTCAGTTTCATCAAGTATTTTTTTCCCAGACAGATTAGGAACATTTGGAAAATCCTTACTCTCAGAGTAGGTTGAAAGCTTTCAGATTTACCCTGAGGAGACATGGCTCCAGTTACTAAAGGCCCATCCAAGAGATGATCTCTTTCCGTCCTCCACCTCTTCAAATGCAGAAATATTCCATAAACTCACAAATGTTGTAAAAGCAAATGTACAGAAGAGAAATTAGTGTTAATGGAGCTGAAAAAGTTATAGTAGGTGAATCAATTATAATAAGGTAATACAGTCAGCCTTCTGGACTTAACTGAAACGTGGTCAACTGCGTTAGAATGTTCTGGTGCCCCCTGGAGGATTCCAAAACCTAACAGGTTGTTTAGTACCTTTCTTCAGATGTTAGTAAATCCTACAGAGGCAATGTGTTTTTCTCCCAGGCTCAGATCAGCTTACCCTGGCTCAATCACATGCAGAGTAACAGAACAGGAACTAAATCTAACACTTAAAAGGTTTTACTCACCACAGGTTTATTGTTAGAAGGTAGGTTGTGGATCAATGACAGAATTTATTTTTGATCTGCAAAGTTTATAATTCCAGCAGTGCAAAGTTCACAGTTGCATGTGCGATCTCTCAATTTTTCTGGGCTTAGTGTTCAGTGAACAAGGAAGTTTGCTCCTGTGAACCATGCTTTGTCTTGCACAGACTTCCTGGAAAGTTAAACATTTAGCTTCTAAAATTTTATTGCCCTGGCATTCCTCAGAGACCTGACTCCAGTATGATGATGACTAAATGGCCAACAGAGTTGTTTATTCCGTAGCTGCAGAGCAGTCAGCAACATGAGGAACCACTGTCTGACTTCAGTAAGCTCCAGCGATAATAAGATCCAATAATCTAATAGGATTATAGCTGCTGGTCTGCCTTCCCTTCCCCACATCCCAATATACATGAGAGTGACTGAAATCACTATCTTGGTGAATAATGTGACTGATACCCTCCAGAATTAAATCACTACATCTGAAAGACATTGACTAGGTTTTACTAAATTTGCAAAGGCTCATGCCAGTACATTATTGTAACTATTATCAGAATAATTATAATACAAATGCAATATTATGTGTAGAACTAATATAAACTTCTTTCACCTTTTTTCAGTGCCATTCCATCATATACTGAATGCTTACTTTCTTAATTTGCATAATTAAAGGGGTGTATTAAAGTTTATAGAATTAATTCATCAAACAATTTCAGAAGGGCTGCAATAATTCTTCATATTCCTGGAAATCCTTCACCCAGATTCCCAAAATTTCTCCAACATTTACTAAATTTGTCTTTTCTTTTTCTTCATATACATGAACCGTTTTTCTTTTTCTGAACTATTTACTACGAGTAAGTTGTAGATACGATGTTTTCCTTATTCTTAAAGATTTCTATGTGTATTTCCCCAAAATAAAGAATCTGCTTATATAATCAGTATAGTTACCAAAATTAGGAAATTAATATTGAAATAATATTATTGAATCTGTAAAACTTTATTGAAATTTTTATCAATTGTGCATTGTGCCAATAATATCTTTTATAGCTAAAAAAAAAATCTAAAAAAAAATGCATTCAGCTGTCATGGTTTTTCAGTTTCCTTTAATCTGGAACAGTTCTTAGGTGTATCTTTGTACAGACCAAGTATTTTATAGAATGTCCCACATTTTGGCTTGTTCTGTCCTCATGATTAGATTAAGGTTATATGCCTCAGGCCACATACAGCAAAAGTGATGTTGGCTTTTTCTCTGCACAGCATATTAGGAAGCACATATTGTTTATTCCCATTAGCAGCTATGTTAACTTGAATCTTTTGGTTAAGGTGGTGTTTGCTTGTTTTCTCCAGGTACAGTTACTATTTTACTCTGTTAATAAAAAGTAGCTTGTAGGGATATACTTTGAGAAAATGTAAAACCCTATTTCTTTTCAAACTTCCATAAATTAGTTTTCGCATTCATGGATGATTCTTGCTTGAATCCATTCGTTTTATGATGGTTGCAAAAGTGATTTTCTGATTCCATTATTCCTTCTCCATTTATTAGTAGGGAAGCTTCTCTTCTCCCTCATTTATTTACCTGTTTTTTTGGTTTTAATCGGTGTAGCTCAGGGATCCTTACTTTACTGAATAGTATAAATTTACTACCACTGCTTATTTAAATTAGTAACTTATTTTAATCCTTACTTTATTCCAGACTTGGCCAATGGGAGTCCCTTCAAGCTGATTCTTGGGCCATTTAGACATGTTCCTATAATTTTTTAAATGCTTCCTTTTTGGCATAGTAAGGTGTTCCAATTCTTTCCCTGCTTCAGTTTTGAATTCAGCCATTTCTCCACAGAATTATGATTTTAGTGAAGTATGAGGTATATAGAAAGAAAGATCTTGGCCCTATACAGGCTCATTGCTACCAGGCCTCATTGCTTCAAGAGGAGAGAGCTGGGAAATGTTTACACATACATATAAACAAATGTGTGCATTTACACATGCACTCACATACACAGCACACATGTGTATATATGTATATTATATGTATGCACACTATATATGTATGTGTATATTTCAGAACCCATGAGTTCACACCTATTATCTCCAATTTCATCCCAATATTGCAAGGTTTACTCTATTTGTTCCTTTTACCATAATTGTAGCTTCCTTCTCCCAAAGTGCAAAACCTGACTCCTATTATCCACACCTTATTTGTTCAATCCTAGAACATAAAGGCACGAAGACCACTGTTTGGGCTTCTTGAGCCAATGTGGTCCCTACCTTATCTTATCAGCTCAGAAAGGAGAAAGCTGGGCTGTTTTAGGAATTGATATGAAGAGTGCAACTTGCAATGCCAATCCTCTCTATTTTTTTCTCCTCTAGGATTTTGCTATTCAGATCAATTAACTTTATATCAGAAACAAAGCATCATTTTGTCTCATTCTTGTAGGAAGACACCTTCAATTAGTTTAATATGTCACTGAACGTTTTGTGGAAAATGCCACGAAAGAACACCAACTGTTCTCGCCCCCACCTGACAAAGGTCTCTCTCAGACAATGCAGAAATAAGTCAGTTAAATGCAGCTTTTTTAATAGCACTATATTCCTTTTAGAACGTTTCCTTTTTGGCTGCTTGTGTGAAACTCAAGCCCAGCAAATATTCACAAAATCAACCCCAACAACTGGAGTACTTTCCATTGTTTCATACATTTATAAAATTATTCTGAGTGAAGGTGTCAATAGTTTTGTCTCAACTTTTACATTACCATGAACAACATTACCAACAAAAAAATGCAAATTCAACAAACATAATCAGCAACATACCAAGAGCCTAAAGATAACACTGGCTGAGATAAACTGCTACCATCTTTTTGGCATGGATGTACCTTAAAGAATGAATAGTTAGAAAGTAAGGGATTTGTGTAAAAATCGTGCTAATTTATTTCAGTATCATAATAATTCTACATTGCAAACTTATGAAATGTTTGTGGACCAAATTTTTTACCCTCTTAAACTGCCAAACTGCCTAGAGTCTATTTAAAGGGCTGCTGAGGAAGGCACTGTTCTTTGGGAATGAACCTAAGGACTTGTCTGTGTGTGGCCTATCAGAAAGGCCTCAGGCTGTGAACCCCAGAGACAGGGAGAATCCGAAAACAATCATCAAAAGGGAACAGCAGAATTTAAGGACAGAAGCAGAGGCAGATTTATATGAAACTGAGGGCGCTTGAATTTCAGGGCCCCTTCTAAGGCTGTGTGTCCTAGTTTGTATTTTTTTCCTAAAGAGAGTTCCAAATATCATATAAGCCAGGACATGGAAAAACTGGGTCTGCCCTGAATGGAAGGTCCTTAGAAATCACTAAGATCAACTGTCTGATTTTACAGATGAAGAAACTGAGGTCACCAAAAGACAACTTGCTGAGGTCAAAATGTGGATGTGACTCATTAATTAAAAGTCAGCCTATCCACACATTCCCTGCAGATAGGATGGTGCTGGACCACTTGGTTACATGGCCATAACTGCCCTGGCTAGGAGGAGTGGGCTTTATGGTTTATCCTGTGACCCATTCCATTCCATCACCACAGCTCACTAGACCTGGGGTTGTCACCTAATCCCAGGGAGTCATTCCATCTGGGTCAATGACCTGTGAGGTCACCTGTGATAAAAAGCTCTGCTCAAACACAGAAGACATTGATGAACTAGCCCAATCAAATTCTCTGTCCTGGAAATTTGAACTGGGGAATATGGAAAGAAACAGACAATTAGCAGTGGGGAACTAAGACAGACAGACTCAGGGCGTGGCTATGCACTCAGCTAGTTATTTGTGAGTTCTGTCTGCTGGGGAAGAGATGAGATAAGCCATTTGTCAAACCCTGTGAGACCCCCTGGTACTAGAATCTTTGAGGTCTAGTTGTGCTGTTCTTCCTGAGAGGCGTGCATGGCAACTCCAATAGCTGTGTTATTTCCCAGTTTCCCCTATGCCCCTGTCCCCATACTGGCCACCACTCCTCAGGGAGCACTTGAACCTTATGGAAAGCACTACATCAGCCAAACCTCAATTCCATGTTTTTGACATCCGTGATAGCAAAAAGCAGGGAACCAACTTCGAAGTGTGGTCTGAACTCATCTTTGAGGAGAAATGGCTCCTTTGTTTTCAGGAAAAGCACTTTAGTAGGTCTTTGATTACACAAGGGCAAAGCCAAGAACATATTCTGGAAAAGCAGTGGAAGAGAGGGAGGGAGTAGCTGAAGAGCTCTGCATTATAAAGTAAATGCCAATCTTCCCAGTGGACAGCATCTCTAACAGTTTCTCTTTAGACAAGTAAGACTTTAATCTTCTCTGAACCTCTGTGCAAGAGAGGGCCAATGGCATTCCCAGGCTGTGGGTCAAGCTCTCTCCTGATGACGCAGGAATGGCCTGACAGACACTGACTGAGGACACAGAAGCAGCCACAGTGGAATTGAGGAACACAGCATTCCTGAGCAATTCCCAAGAACGCTTGGGCAGGGACTCCCAGGGAAGTCCTTTGTCTCCAGGAAAAATAGGAAAAGTGCTTGGAGCATTATTACTTGATTGTTAAAGTGAAGTGTGACCACAATACTCCAGAAGTGAATGGGATATCTTGGTTTCATTTGGTTTCAAAGAACCTCACTGGCTTTCAAATACCATAACAAAGTAAGTAATTATAATCACCACCTAGTGTCACCTATAAAAACTAAGGGAAGAGTTTTTAGGTGTGAATAAATGCACATGTATGTAAAGGGGCCCAGGTACGTTTTGCCATAAGTATCTTTGCAACAAGCATTTTTGCCACAAACATTTCTATCACATAATTAGTTGGTCATAGGCAATTCTGCCATAATGGTTAAAAAAAAAAAAACCCACTGGTTGACAATATGGTTTCATTTCTCCATTGACACAGTACTTCCATCTTGATATTATATAAATTTTAGCCCTCATAATGGTCTACATGGTGGTGCAGATTTTTGAACCCACATTTCCCACAGAACTTTGGAGCTATCAGTGGACATGTGGAAATATGCCAAGAATCAACAGTTTTTACAGCACAATACAGAGCTCAGTTACAAAAATGCATCTACTATTCGGATACTGATATTTCTCTTAATGAAGGAAGAAATATTAGTGAAAAAAGCAAAAGTGTGATGTCAAATGAGGAGAGAAATCAACAAGCAAAAAAACTATGATACTATGAATGAAAGACTGAAGACAGTGCTTCAGTATAACTCACAGAGTAAAATCAGTTATTTATGCAGTTTTGCCTGAGCCTAAGCTATACATTTGAATGTTAAAATATTTTGTACTTCACAATAAACTTCATTACTCATTTTTCGTGTTTCATAATGTCCTTTTTTAATGTCCCTCCTTTACTTTTGGTGATTTTATCTTTTACAGCAAAAATGCCTATAGCCAAGTAGTTATGCTGTGATATGATGGCTGCAAAAATGTTTGGGGCAAAAATACAGCAGAGATGCCTAAGGCAAAAATATTGGACATGTATATAAAGTAAGTATTTGCATCACTTTTTATTATTTCTTTAACAGGCATCAGAGAACTGTTTCACACAGAACTAAATAATCAGGAAACTTATTCTTATTCTAAAGGCAGGCTAATTCAGTGGATCTGTGAAATCCCAAGTGACTTCAAATTTCCTGTTTTGCCATTAGCTGGCACCCTTCATGGTCCCAAAAAGGAGGAGGCAGTCCAAGGAGTCACATCCAGGCACGGTAACATCCAAGTAAGTACAGGAATGACCTTTACCTGTCCTACCTTCTTAGAAGCAAGGACACTTTTCCCAGAAGTTTCCATCCTGACCTGACTCCCTGTCACCTCTCACTAGCCAGAACTGGGTCACCTATATATTCTAAAACCAATCAGTGGCCAAAAGAATGGAATTATCAAGACTGTCTTGGACCAATGGTTCTCAAATTTGCATATAAATCAGAATCACCTGGAGGAAATTATTAAAACACAGGTTACTGGGCCCCATCCCCATAATTTCTGATAAATAGGTCTGAGGGGTGCTCAAGAATTTGCATTTCTAACAAGCCCCTAGGTAATGCAGATGTAAGCTGGTTGGGTACCACACTTTGAGAACTACTGTCTTAGACTAACCTCTTGAGGTAGGATGGATGTTGGGGAATCAACCAAAAATGTCTGCTTCAAGAGATTACTATCAGAACAGTACTGTTTATATTCTGGGATGACACAGTTCTATGAATTTTCTTTTGAAAATTAAAGTTCCCGTGTATTGTGCATGTGACATGCGATATTCTTTGTGGCATACCACAAGTCAAAATATGGAAGTAGAATACAAGCTAATGTCCGTGGGCAGAAAACGTGGTTTGAGTAAATGTCACCTACTGTTATAAACACGCACCCATCCTGCCTCGCACCCTGTGCTAGTCCACACCCTTCCCTTGCATACTTCTGTTCTCTGTTCCAAGGCAGTGGCTCTATCAACCGCTTGCCTGCTGAAGTGGGACTGACCTCAATCTGTCTCTTGGCAGAAAAGATAATGCAAGCAAAGGCATGAGTGTAAGAAACAGCTCACTGTTGGAGCAGCTTGATGTTTTTGCAGCACAAAATATCAGGCTGGAAGTGGTGTATGATAAGGCACTAGATTTGGACAAGAGCAAAATCACAGAAGGCTTTGTGGGACGCTGAGAAGCTTGAACTCCATCCTGTGGCCTCAACAGCCACTGAAAGGAGATGTGATGGGCTGGGTTTTGGTTTCATTTAGATTGCACTAGGTTGTCTGGCAGGCAGACTCAAAGCAGGGAGGCATAGTGGAGACCGGTAGTCCAGGTGAGTCACAAGTCCTGAAGGAGAGCTGAGATGGCAGGCTTACAGAACACGCAGATGTGCGAAATACTTAGAAAATCAAAATCTACAAAGCTGGCAATCTGTTAGATGTAGAAGGTACAAAAAAGTAAGGCCTTCAGATATTTCTTAGGTTTTTAGCTAGGTGAGTAAAGAAATGAGCCATTATGGGGTGGTGATACTGGGGCACAGAGAGATGAAATCTATTGTGGATGCCTTGTATGTAAAGCTTTGGCCCACCTCTACATGAAAGTAGAGATGCTTATAGGTAGTTGGTCATATTGCAGTGGGTTTGGGGGAGAGGACTGGACTAGAGATATGGATTTAGAGTCAACTGTAGTTAAATCTGGAGCATGAAAAGATCACTCAGGAAAAGCATGAAGGTGAAGAAGACTATTTAGCCAAGGATGGGGTCCTGGGAAATACCAACATGAACGTGGTGTGCAAAGGCACAGGCAGCAGTAAGATGGCAAAGGTAGGAGGGAGATTAGGGTGCAGCCTTTTGTAGAGTCAAGGTCATAGAGTTTGAATCAGGAGGGAGTAGTCAACACTGTCCAACATTGTAGAAAAGAGGTTCCTTAAGATAAAGCCTGGAAAAAACAAAAACAATTTGACAGGATTTGGACGTTGGAAAGTCATAGACATTTCAGGAGAATATCTGGGCTGAATTATAAGAGGTGGGTCAATGGAAAATTTTTTTTTTCCTTTTTGAGAGTTGATGGGAAGGGTGTGGAAGGAAATCAGGTAGTATTCACTGAAGTGGGGGGCAAGGTCATGAGCTGACAGTGAGGATGGAGGATTAAGTTGAGGAGGGTTATCAAAGTTTGGGATAGTCAAGAGAGGTTATTGTCCTTTAGGTGTTCTGAGGTTGACACTGTCTGTATCTGGGGTTCTTTGATTTTCCAGAGCATTTGCAACCACAAATCCAGCAAATTATGCATATTTTAAATAGGTGTGCCACTGGATGACAGGAAGATATCTGTGAATAATGCTTAAAGGGACTGATAGGTTTATGTGACCAGAGTGTATTTTGCAAGAATGGCCACAGAAATATTTCCAGTCCTGCACAGGAGAGACTTTGTAAAAGTCTTAATGAATAGAATGCAGACACGATGCTAAATGACTTCTAAGGCAAAAGGCAACACAGCTTCCAACTTGCTCTTTATCTGGGGATGCTAGCATGCTGTGAGGAAGCCCAAACTGCCATCCATCTAGGAGCTGATGCTGGTTGCTGGCTGGGTGCTACGGTCAAGCATCCTGAGAGAAGAGCCAGGCTGACGCTGTACTGTCCTTTGCCTTGCAAGTCACAAGGGTCATTTCTGTGCCTTGTTGAATTCCTGACCCACAAAATCTGTGAGCATGATAAATAGCTGATTTATTCCACTATGTTTTGGAGTAATTTACTCAGCCATAGTAACTGGAACAGCATCCAAAGATCCATTCAAGTGAACATGAATATTAGGGAGAAACAAGATATTCCTGGGTCCCAAACACAGTCATCAGACATGCTGTTAAGTTCTTGTTCTGATTCCTCTTGAATACAAGATAATATTTTTATTTACTTCCCAGATTTCAGCTTAAATGTACCCTAAATGTCTATACCTAAGGCACAACTTTATCCCTGAAATGACCTGTATTCAAATACTTTACTAACTCTGAAGATTTCTTTAACTAGTTCTGTATTCATGACAACTAATATTTTGTCACATCTAAATAGTTTCCCAGTGTGTTAGAGACTATTTTCAAAAATAATTTATTGAATCTCAATACTACCTTTTTCTATCTTTGGGCATTAACCCAGACGTACAATACACACACACACACACTCTTGTGTATGCCTAACAATAGGTCAAAATAACAGAACAATTTTTCAGCTCATTAAAGAATAAAATAATTAAAATTCTTTCAGTAATTTTTAAAAAATAGCTAAACCACATCTAAGAAAGCACAGATACATAAACCATTTTAAAACATGGCTCATGGTTTCTATTTAATGTCCATTTTCATATTTTGGAGCCCAGTACAGAAAATAGAGGTTATCATACCCTTTCCTTCTTGGGAAATTATTTTTTTTGACATAAAGTGGTCAAAGACATTCTATAGACTCTGACCATTATTGAGTAAATACTAAGCATATCATCAAACTGCCCCAACACCCCACCAACATGAATGCTGATTTCACAGAAACTCCCTGCCTCCAAAATCACCAACTAGATTTATATTCTTTGATCACAGCTTCCTATCCTTGGGTTCACCTTCTCAGGGATCCTCAGTATAATAGCCAGAGCTTCATTCTCACTGATGCTGCAGATCCACTGACTTCTTTCTTAATTCTCCTCCCTATTTAGCCTGTATTATATGAGCATCATTTCAATCACTCCTCAGCTTTTCTTGTTTATCTTCATGTCACAGCTGCCTGGAAATCTCCAGTTGTGGATGGACCCAATCACCCATATTCTCATGGGTGCTTGCAGCCACCTTTGTGCTGCTGAACAAAAGTCACTCACTGGGGCAGAGTGGTATTATCCTATAACTGCATTCACCCAATACAAGTATCCCATATGGTGTCTGCATGTCAATTAGAACAAGACACTTTTCTGTCAGAAAACTATGGTGATACCTTGATTCTGAAAGAACAAGACGCTTTACTGCCATCTGCCAGAACCTTGTCATAACAAACATGCAAACCTGTGATGATATGATGCAAACAGCACCCCTCGCAGGTATAGCAACTTTGTGCAATATACAACCTTGACAGCTATACATGGCAGTGGCCCTGAAGACTACCCGCAACCAGGCACTCATGCCACTAAATGTTTCTTTAGTAAAATATGTCATCCTTTCTCCTAGTTTCTTAAATCCAACTCTTCTTTCTTCTCAGAGGATGTCTATTTCTGATACTTTAAGGAGAAAATCGGAGCCATCATATGCAAACTCCCTAATTTTCCTACCATCTGATCCACAATCTATCCACTATTTGTACCCATCCTTTATTCTTTCTTCTTCCTACTAAGGACCACTCCCTTTGTGTTCTGTATTGCAGTCCTTCTAGTCTAGGTGAGGACCCACCAAAACCAAGTTATTCCTTTCTCTTCATTATCTTCAGTTTTGTACTCTACCTCCCTCCCGTTTCTCTGCAGTCAAACAAGCTTTTGTGCCTCCTATCAGGAAAAATATCACGCTGAGGCTTCTGCCCTTTATCTGCACTCTACTTCCCACCCAAGGTTCTCCAAATGAGTGGTTCCCATGCCCCTATGTTCTTTTCCTCCTAGCTCCTCATTTTTCCTTCCATAAATGCACACTTACTCAATAATTCTATAAAAAGAACTTGTCTGATGCTAAACCAGGTACTTCTTTTACTTGTATCCTCATTTTCCATATCAGTGGGGATCTTCAGAGTAGACAGATTCTTCCTTTGAAATACTTTCAGTGGTTTTGGTTGCCATGACACCAAAAAATCTTGCTTTTTCTTTATTTTTTTGGTCTCTTCTCCACCCAACCTTTAAATGCTGAAATTCTAGTCCCCTTTCACTTTGGATGCCAAACCCTCTCCCAAGGGATCTCATCTTTTCTCATGAGTATCAGTCACAGATACTAGCCACTCCTAAATGTGAATATCTCATCTGGTCCTCTTTGTAGACCTCGAAAACACAATGTACAATTCCACTTGGATCTCTCTCACACTCATCTCCTATGTAACACACTCAAAGAATGAATTATTGCTCTTATGCTCCCAAATTTCCTTTTATTCTATGTTCCATGGCTCAGTAAATGCTGGATACTCCCTCTACTATGCCAGACACCTGGGGTCCATCCTTTAGTCTTTTTTTCCCCTATAGGCAAGCCTTCACCATATTCTGGCCATGCTAACCCAAAGCAGATCCCAAGTGCCTCAACTTGCCTCCACACCGAAAC